GTAATCTACATCATATTAAACTGAAACATAATTGACATCAGGAGTTTACAAACATTTTCCCGCATTTATCAGAAAATAAATAAATAAATAATAATAATAATAGCTAGCTCTATAAAGTTAATGCTAACTATTATTATTATTGGGGTGTGTCATGAACTAATGAATCTGTCTTTTAAGAGGACAACAGGCTTAACATATTTCGAAACTAGTTTGCATTGATTATTTGTGTACAATTAAAAACAAAAGATTCAGATTCAGGTGTCGACTCAGACAAAGCTCCGTATGGTGAAAACTGTTCAGAGTTGACGATATGGGAGAAATTTCCCGTAATATTTTCAATTGGCAGACGTTGACAAGAAGAAATAAATAGAACGCAACATTACCGTTAATTCATTTAATCCTGCTTATTTAAAAGCTGCTAGAAAGAGTTGACTCCATGCCCAGGCTTGCCTTTGTTCCGCTAGCCTTTGTTACCCAGTGAGCTCTGATTTAGCGCTTCTTTCATTGGTCTTTGTGAATGAAACGAGTCGCATTATTGTGGGTGTTTCCATAATCTAAAAAAGAAAAGACGACTTTTCAAAAACTATTTGAAAGCTTTTATGAGTTACATAAACTTTAGCTAAAATTACTTTGTGAACACAAAAAAACTACAGCGTCCATCAAACTGCCATCATGCCATTGTGTCTTGTTTCTTGTTGAGTCAGGATGTTTAACCCAAGAACATCCAGAGGTTGTGGGAAGTTGTCCTGTTCAAAGGCGATAAAAGATTAAACACTGAAAAGGCTAAACAACATTTTTTTGGTTCTTTTTCGAAAAAAGCTCTTTAGTTATGAGCTTAATTGAAAATATCAGGATTGTGATTTTTTTTTGTACATCACACCGAAACCATTTTTTGTGTGTTAGCGACCTTTTTGTTTTGTTTTTTGTTTGTTCTGCTGACTAACCAGTGAAGGATATGTAACACTATCAAATAATGGTAATTTAGCTATAATAATAATGCTGGAAACAAGGCAATTTATTGATCTCTTACCAACAGTACTTTAGTAAAACATTAGCTTGCGTTTTGATTACCATACTTTAGGACTAATAGCTGGCTAGCAAGGCTAGGTAGCCCAACTTAAATAACACAATCCAAAATGTTTGCATTACTGTTGCTTTAACGACTGAAATCTTTGGCTGATACCAATGACGATGTTTAAAATGACAATTTAGCTGATACCTAATGTGGATACAGCTTTGTTGCTATTTATCTCTTTTTTTTTTTTTCGACAATGAAACAAGGACGTCTAAAAAGTCTCTCACACTTTTTTCATACTAGATTTGGAAGACAAGATTTGGAGTTCCTGGTGTATAATGATTGCGAAATTGATGCTTCGCAACATTAAACATCATCCTGTATGCTAACTGGCTGATATTAGCCTATTGCTGGATCAATAAATTTCTGTATCTTTAACTTATTTTCTAAGCTTCATCCAATTTTAGTGGAAAAAAATAGAGAAGGAAGGTTTTTTAAATACACTTTCAGTTAGCTTTTATCAGTGGTACTGAAGTTCTTGGTGGTTTTAACGATGCCAGAATGTATCGTCCTAAAACTACAACATATGCCAGTTTCAGTCAACATATTGGCATGTGTGAGATATTCTTTCTCCTCTCCAGTCCAGTGGAAGAAAATACAGAAATTAGATGTTTCAACTGTAGACTGTGTGTGCGTCTTCACTGAGTCAATCCCCCAGTTCTCCTCTCCTCTTCTCTCCTGTCTTCCTCCCTAACCCTCCTTGTGATCCGAGAGGAAAGCTTTCATTATTTGCTGAGATTGGGATGTCAATCCCCGCGCCCCTGACCCAAGTTTGTAGTTCTCCGCCGTCATATTGGGGAAATGATTAGTGGGGTTATCTCCCCTCCACTCCACGAGGCTTTCATTCCTCCTCACGGCCCTCTGTACCTCCAGGCAAGGAGCGGATCTCTAACTGGGAGGCTGCTGCTCTCCTTTTACTCCTTCTCACTCCCTCTTTACACTTACTGATACTTCATCATGTTCTTCATCTTTTTAAGCGTCTCGGTTCATTGCTGCATCAGATTTATTTTAAAGATAACCTCTCCTTTCTCTTCAGCTATTGGGCCAAAGGAAATTTTAGTGGAGTGAATGAAGTCGTGGGTGACTCTGCATGGAAGCGAGGACTAGCTCAGGCTAAAGTGTGCCTCGTTTTACTTGCTTTTTATACTGAAGCAACACACATAAAAGATCCCTGCATCAAGCTTTGGTTCATTTATATTTTTGCCGTGAAGACTAAAGCATTATGAGTCTTTTATATTTTTATATAATAGACTAGTTTGCCATGTTTTTGGAGAGATACAAATATATATTTTTAGATTTCTAATTTCTCTTTTATGTTCCAAAGAACAGGTTTAAAACACCACCCTTTGTGGAAAAACTGGCAGAAAGATCTTTAACATTCTTTGTTTTTAACAACCAAAGTCAAACACTGTGTTTGGATTATTACACACATGAGGATCTGTGTGTAATAAAGCAATTTTGCTTTGTTTTGAAACACTTGTGTGCTATGATGGCTTCAAACGTTATTCCAAAATGACCCAAATGCACATAGCATGTGGGATGGAGACTTTAGGGATGTGGGGATAAATTGATATAATTTCTTATCTGACTGAGCGCAGATATAATGGCCCAAATGAAAGCGCATTTCGCTTGTGCGCACGAAACTGTAAAATTAGAGCTTTTCTTTTATGGCTATTGTTCGAGGGGGGAAACACGGCAAATTAGGCCATGCGTTTCTTGAACATTTTAATTGATCTATTTTTCATCTTCCCTCGCGGATTTTTTTTCTTTTTTTAAAAAAACAAAACGCTGGCAGTGCATCGCAGCAGTCTTACTGCAAGCTGCACATGTGCCTCATTGGTCCACTGAAAGAAATGAAAGGAAATATAAAAGCTTTCACACCACGAGCATAATGCAAATTACGCTCTGATTGTCTCTTAATTTCATCAAAAGGTTGATGGTTTCTTTTGTTTACTTTTTTTTCTTTTGAATTAATATTATTAGTGGAGTCCGTGGGATTAGGCAGAGTCACTGATCTTTTGGGTTTAAGCCTTTTTTTTCCTTTTTTTTTTTTTTTCCTTTTTTAATGTCAGTCGGGAACTCAACGAGACTCCATCCGCACTTCATTAACCCTGAGCCCGGGACAATCCACGGTAAGAGCCGGGGGATTTACCACCAGCCTTTCACATGCAAAGAATAGAACAAAAAATCTCCGAGTCATCCAACAAGACACACGGGGGCTTTTGCTTATATAATCAGCTGTGCACTTTGCAAGTATACTCCCCCCCCCCCCTTTTTTTTTTTTTCCTCCCCCCAAAAATGGCTCGTTGTTAACTGAATCGGTCACGGATCCTTGTGATGGGACTATAATGATCTTTTGGCAAGTTGGGAGGTGATTTTTTTTCTCCTTCTCTTCACTTTCCCAGTCGTCAAAACCCGCCGGGCCGGCTAACTGTATTTTTAATGCAATTTTACGCATCATGAAAGCGCACGTTATCGGGCCGTCAGTCTGATATTTCACGGCATGGTCAGCCACTAAGTGGAGCCCCCAGATAACAGGTGCCTTGCGTGGAGGACAGCAGGGGGAGCTGGCTATCAAACCCATTATCGACTTTCAATTAAAACCTATTAAAGTCTTTTGTCTAATCGTTAACATCCTACATGCCAAGTCGTGTCCGTCAGCCTGAACTCCTTTAACCCCCAAAGCGCCATGGCCGAATAACTTGGGTCCACACAGACTTGGAGGATGAGAGTGGGGTTGGTGCATGGGTGGCTGATTGAAATTTGTAAGGATGAAGGGAGGGGTTGTGGTGGTAGTTGTGGTGGAGCCGCTGACCAGCTGTCCCCACGCTGATCCCCGGTCTGCAGTCAGCTCCAGCCCGGTCACCAGCTGTTGGAGCCGTTTGGCAGAGGAGCGCGCATCCAGCACCCTCAAGGAAAAAAGAAGGATGGAAACAATCAATTTCCAAATGGGGATCATTTAAGGCACTTAAACAATTGCGCACATGACATTAATATTTCATCTCCTGCATTGTTTATGGAAAACGAATTGGAGTCGCTGCTGTTAATTTAGAAAAGTGGGAATGAGAGAGAGAAAGCGAGAGGGAGGAAGGGAGGGAGGATGGCAGGAGACAGGGGCTCCATTTTGGACAGAATACCCTTCTGCTTTGTTGGCCCTCCTTTAAAGACATTAGCTGGAATTGATCTTTGATTGCACTTTTGAATGTGTGTGTGTGTGTGTGTGCACTGTCCGCGTGCGCTCTTGCTCCTTTTGTTTAATTATCTGTAAAGCCCTTTGCTGTCAAAAAAGGAAACGAAACACCCGATGAGCGCAACTAATAATAATATTAAGTGGAAAAAACCGCACTAACATTTCCAGAGACGTCTGCTTTTTTTTTAGAAGATTAGAAAAAGTGACAACTGTCCACCTTTCCATTAATTAAAATCAACACCACCAAACCAAACAGAGGAGGGATAGACAGTTTTTTCCTATAACTTCTTCATGTAAAGTGATTTAAAGCAGCAGGATGCATCTCCCCAACTTTTGCTCAATAACACTGACATTCCTTAAAATGTCTTTTTAATAAATGCTACTGACGTTTCGCTAAACATCAAACAGGACTCTGCTCATACCGTCATACTGCTCATACAAAATTCTTCTTCTTCTATGATTAATTTAACTTGCTAATATCCAGATTTCTATTTTCGTTTTTTAAAAAATGCCAAATTAAAAAAAAATACACAAAATGATTTTTTTGCTTTTTAGATAAGCTGTATTTGTTTAAAGATACTTTTTTGCTATGTAAGCGGATAATAAGGGTTTTTTTTAAAAAAACAAACAAACAAACAAAAAAAAAAAAGGCACACGTGTACACAGCGCAATCCGAAATAAAGAGTACCCCCGCCCGCCCGCCCCAAAAAAGAAGCTAATTCAGCACAACACGATCCCCCAAAAAATCAGAGCTTCGAGCTATCGTTGGCTTCCTCTTGGCTGCATCAGACTGCACCAAGTGTTGCTGCTCTTTTTGTCCACCTCGTGTAGCTTCTTCTGCGTGATGACCCGCGTCCACGTGTTGATTCCACCTGAAAAGCCCTCCCGTCACACACTCAAGCAGCCACTTGATTAAATGAAAGACTTTTATTTCCACATTTATAAAAGTAATTCTCTTTTACATCAAATCCCCCCTTTTTTTCTGTCCAACTTTTGCTGTGAATTTCACCAGAAAAAAGAAAAAGAAGAAAAAAAGAACTTCACGAAATTGGGGAGATAATTTGGGGGAAAGCTAGAGGAACGAAAATTTTAATAATAATAATAATAATAATAATAATAATAATAATAATAATAATAATAATTAGAAAATATATCATTAAAAACGACCCAGGAGATATACGAGAACCACTCCACAAGTTTGATATCTGCAATATACATTTTTTTTCACCAAAGGAGAGTATTAACAAGGGTTATCACGGGTTTCATATGAAGTAACATAAGTAATCCACAATGTTCAAATACATCTATAGCAAATCAACAGGCGGTTACACCTGTATGCGGACCCGAGTCCAATCATTTATCGAAAAAAATACAAAATGAATAATCACTGAGGTGATTGCCTTCCCCTCTGCGGGGATCAAACAGCTTTTAAATAAATTACTTGACAACTGTACTCAGCTAAAAACTTCAACTAAGAACAAGAAAAAGACTTTTATAGATTTATTTCTTTCCATATCTCTCCTGTATATGTGCCTACACGTGGGTCCGGCAGGTAGTCCATCCTTTCTCAGACAATATGTGTTTTTGTTTTTTTTGTGTGTTTTTTTCTGTATAATTTCTGATGGCTAATCTAGCCTATTATGTTATACTGGATCACCGTGGTCTGAAAGAGACGCACTAACAGATCAAACAAACGGGAAAAAGTTTTCTTTTAAAATCAGTCTTTTTAGGTTAAAATGCAAAATATTCTTATTTACAGGTTCGTGACGGCTTCACGTGTAAAGAAAAATCAATGACAACCTAGAAAATCAAAGAAAATCCCTTCATTGTTCCGTTAGATCTTCAAATAAGCTATTATTCAAATTACAGGGGTGGCTGTTCGTTTCCACCTTTTTAATAATAATAATAATAATAATAATAATAATAATAATAATAAAGGTCTAATTAGCATTGAACTGAAGGTCAAAGTGCCACCGACAATTGCAGTTTATCTGTTTTTTGGGAAAAACACTGAATACTGTAATTGGGTTCAAATAAATACATAACTTAGATGCTTTGATTCATATTGAAAAATAAATAAGTTATAAATAAAGTTCCTGCCCCCAAAGACACAAAGAAAAAGAAAAAAACTTCCATACAGGCAGCGGGGGGTCTCAGTCACAAAGGTCCGTCCGTCTGGGTTCATCGTGGATCAGTTTTCACCATTTAAAGGCCGAACAGTTTGTTTTAGTCTTAGTTTTCTTCGGGTTTTTTTTTTTTAAACTCTTTCTGTCTTTGTGTCGTTTATTCTAACGAGTCCCAAGCTGCCAGGATCGGCGAAGGAAAAAACAAAAAACAAAAATAATAATAAAAATAAGGAAAAATAATATCTGCAGGGGCCCGCTCACCGCTGCTGAGCTGGCCGGGGAAGCACGCCGCTCATAGGAGGCAGGGGAGGCGGGGGAGGTGGCGGCTCGCTAGCCCCCTGCAGGCCGTGGAGCAGGATCCGAGGAACCAGGGGTCTCTGCAGGGCCGGCGGGGGCGCCGATGGGCCTCTGTACAGATAGAGGGCAGCTCCGGGGTCCAGGTTGGACACCAGGCTCTGCGGGTAGAAATACGGGGACGGGAACATCCTCTGCAGGGCGGAGTAGTTTCCAGCTTCGGCCAGAAGCTCGAGTCCTACCGCCGTCTGCCTCTTCCACTTTGTCCTGGAAGAGATAAAAGATGTTTTTAGGTTTTAGTTTTTTTGTTTTTTTTTAAGTGTGGAGCATATGTATATCTGAATACGTGTCTCGTGTTTGACACACCAAAATATCTCCCATCTGTTTACCTGGAATCCAATTAACATTCAAGTGAGGTTTGTTTTCTTTCTAAAATCACTAAAATCTCCAACCTGCCACATGTATTCACACCCAGCGATGTCTGTTAGGTTGCCAGTGTGCACTCCATGCAGGTGAATAATTCATACTAAAGATAATTGAGTAGATATAGTAGTTTGTTTGAATTATTAATATGCACACATGCAATGATACATTATTCATAGTCCAAAGTGTTGTTTTTATATTTATTTATGTCATTTAGCTGCCTCAGAGACAGACTGCAGATAAATAAAGTTATCTGAACCCAAAACTATTTTTATTTATTTTACATTTGTTTCCTGTGCAGCTTGTGCAGCTTTGCTAATGTATTTGAAAAGCTGATATAGAAAATATATTTTTGAGGTCACGTGACATGTCTCCATTATGTGATGCCCTTTTAATTTTTTCTTAAGAGTATATAAAATACAAATATCCAGCACTAATCCACAGAAGTGCTGCCAGTCAGTAAGTGCTCCCGTAGATGTACAAGTTAGAGCTGAAATTTGTATCTAATAATAAGAAGAACAACAACAAAAAATAATAATAATTAAAAAAAATAAAAATAAAGCAATTTGTTCCTCTACTTCAAACGTGAATGCTGTTTTTATGATTTGGGATCAGATGTCAGATATATTTAAAGTTATTCTAACATTTTATGGACCACACAATAAATCAATTAATAGAAAAAGGCAGGCTGATCAATAATCGAAGTTAATGGTTCGTTGTCGTCCCGCATTCACTCAGATATGAGGTGAAATCTTGCCACCTTCAGTTGGAAAACATGGCGTCCCGGGTCATGAGCCGGCCGTGAGAAACGAGATTAACCCCCACCCCCCTCCCTTTTAGAAAACAGCAGCGTCTTTACCTCCGGTTCTGGTACCAGGTCTTGACCTGCGTGTCGGTGAGGTTGAGGGAGGCCGCCAGCTCCATGCGGTCCTGGACGCTCAGGTACTTCTGCCGCTCGAAACTGCGCTCCAGTTGGGCCAGCTGGTGGTCTGTGAAGGCTGTCCGGGCCTTCCTGGGCTTCTTCAGCCGGACCTGAGGGCTGTCTCTGCTGCTTGAGATCTCTCTGTCTCCCTCCTCTTTCACTGGTTGACAGAAACAGAGTGAAACCAAAGTTAAGGCCTCTCCCACAGCACACAGTAGATCTTTTTTTGCGTGCAGCCTCCACAAGAAAAGGAGGCTAATAAATCTGTGCATGACTGTCCTACAGGGCAAACAACTATCAGTAAACACAAACAGAATAAATGGTTTGCCCTGTTACGTTGCGCTTACCTAATGTAGGATTTGAAGACGAAAACCACAAAAATACAAAAAAATAAATTTGACTTTAAGGATTTGTCAACATTTTTCTGTTTTTTGTGTGTAAAAAAAGCAAAAACAAACTTATTTTGGAAATTTTGATTGGAAATAAAATATATATCTATATCTATACAGATATATACATATGTACATATATGTTTGTGTATGTGTGTATGTGTGTGTGTATTAAGCCGAACTTTTGACCAGAAGGCTTTATTTTGTTTTTAAAGTTTCATTTTTAAATGAACACAAAATCACTTTCTGCGGGCTCCAAAGTGCGCCGTTTAATCTGCAGATATAAAGAAATCAATTTTAAAAACCTTTCTAATGTTAAAATATTTTATAATTTATTTTTTAACCAGCGATGAGTTTTATCTACGTTTTAGAAGAGCTGTCATTTTCGAGTGAAATCACGCCACTGGAAACTGCGCCTATAGGCTTATGGAGCTGTTTGATTTGGCCTTAAATTGTTATGAAAAGCTATTCCAATATTCACCCTTCCAATTTGATATTTTCCTGTCAGCAGATCCACAGCCTTTGTTCTTTGTACACGTGGTGTCGTGTCAGGACGAGCATTGATATGTAGTCCTTATAGTTAATTCTCTGATAGTTAAAAAATATTAAATAAAATAGAAGAAGAAGAAGAAGAGAAAGAAGAAGAAAACAATAGAAGCGAGTAAGGCGAGAGATCTTGGTACTTGAATAGTTGAGTCGTCTCAAGAAGCACAATAATCCGCCTAATTGAGCCACAAGGGAAAGGACGAGCCTTTCAACCGCGACCGGAGAAACTTCACAGGACCGTGGACATGAGTGGAAATCAAGAGCTGGGCGGCCGGGCGCGGTTACAAATCTGATTAGCGCCGGGGACAAATTGCATCAAATCCCTGATATATTACAGGAGGCGGATTCGTGGAAATCAAAGTTACCGTGGCGGGAGCCGCGCGTGGGACCCGCGGCTTCTTCAATCAATCAGCGCGTCGCATCCACTCTGTGATGCACGTGAGCGCACGGGCGGAAAATGTTGAAGAAATCAGTGACTACGTTTAAATGAATAGCTTGCGAGAAAACATAATAATAATAATAATAATAATAATAATAGTTTGTAGGTGTAATAAGTGTGATTTTGTTTGTATTTCCTGTTGTAGCCCACAGCGGTGGAGTTCTTTCCAGGCACTGCTTCATTAAACTGTCAGTGGAGGTGGCACGTCTGTTATGGCTGACATGATTGGAAACAGAGAGGCCCTTGATGGCATTTATCTGGAGGCGACCCTGTCATCTCTACCATTCGTGCCTCACTGACATCAACAGATGCTTTACGGATATTCTGCTTAACGCAGAGCTTGAAGCGGACCACGCGTGTTTGCGTGTACAGGCAGGCAGCCGTTTTTGTTTTGTCCTGTTTTTTATTTATAATAACTTGATTAAAGGCTCTGGTCTGTCACCATCCAGAGGTAACCAAGCGCGACTCAGCACCAGAGATTTTCACGTCGATATTTTGCTTATCGTTGGTCATCGTTCCGGTGACCTGCTACTAATCACATAAGACCAGTATGTTTGTATGATCACCTGTGTCTGCATATTTTATTAGAAAATTGTTTTTATAGTAAAAAAGATTGAATTATCAGGAAATAATTTAAGACGTTAAAAACGGAACTTTTATTTTATTTTTAATCACCAGTCAACACTCCAAAATATCCAAATTAGCCTTTATTTTGAAAAGCTGATCTGTTGTTCTTCCAACTTTATGCTCTATTTTCTTCCACATTACACTAGCTTACACATTTTGTGCCAGACCTTTACATGACCCTTTTATTTTATGTATGACTATCGTATGCAAAATGAAAGGCGAAGAACAATAAATCAAACATAAACATCATACAAAATAAATAACTGAATAAAGAAACAAGTAAAGGTTTTAAAGTGTTTAAATATAGATTTGAAAAACTCATTCAGTGGAATTTTTAACTACCAAAAGTTTTTTGTTTGTTTGTTTGTTTGTTTTTTGTTGATGTTGTCTTGTTTGTGTGTCTGTTTGTGTGTTTGTTTTTTGCATGAGCCAAATATGTATTATGACATACAGCAGGCTTGCCTCCATTCTCCTCTGTAGAGTAGGCAGGCAGTGTGGCACCCTTACCTTTATATTCACTGTCTGACGATGAGTTGCTGTGGATTTTCTCCATAAAGTCGTCCGCAATCTTCGAGGCCAGCCTCCCCGCCTCCTGAGTCGGCTGTCCATTGCTGGAGTAAGGAGCGCAGGCAGCCAGAGGCTTACAGTCCGCGAGAATATCTCTGATGAGAAACGACGAGGTCACGGTCCTCTGCTGCGACCCAGCAGATATCTGCGCGTGCTGCAGGTGCGGTGGTAGGCCGACGCCGTGACCTTGCCTCTGGGCTACCTCATCCACGCACTCCCTCCTCGGCGACGGAGGCGACGAACAGCCGCTCTCCACTTCTGATCTGGGGCTGAACTCCAGAGGCGAGCGGCACTCTCCCACCAGACTGTCCCCTTTGGACACCGGACTCCCAGGCCTGTGGGACAGCAGAGAGTCGATGCCAAAACTGGACCCATTGGCGGACGCCTCCATTGTCTTGATGAGACCTCCTCAAACTGACATTTGGTATTCAGGACAAGTTTTTATTTTAGGGCAGAAGGGGTTGTTTTAGTCTCAGCTGATCCAGAATAGAAGTGACCCCTTTCCGGCATCAACACAAATATTTTTGGATATGCTACAAATGAAGATAATTCACCCGCTACTTCCAGTCCCCCCGCCCCCAGCCGGCTTGTCGTTATTTTTAGGCCAGATATTTCCACGTTAAGATGAGTTACACGAATGGTCCATGATTCCAATGTTCATCTTTCGGAAAAGTCTAAAAAAAATAAAAGAGAAAGGGAGCGCGTGAGAGTCGAAGGAGTCTCTCTGAAATCAACCGTAGGAGTCACAATCGATTCGTTTGGCTTCCTTCGGGATCAACTCCTTCTGTTTTGAGTTCAGAAGCCTCTCCGGGTAGATGAAGCGATCATTGCTGACATCTCACCTGCAGAACCCAAAAATACCCAGAAATACGGAGGATTTGTGGAGCAGCAGCCGCAGCTCAACGGCGTCTTCGGGAAAAAGCTGTTCAGCACCATGGACAGGGACAGCGTCAACCCCGAGACGGGACCGGGGGACAGTTTTCAGGGCAGCTGGTCATGAGGCTTTGCGGAAGACAGAGGCAAACTGCTCGCATTCCTTCAAGGGGGTCAAGCAAACCTTTAATTAATAAATAAATCTTTTAAAAAAGAAACCCAGTAGAGTGTGAGAGAGAAGCGTCCGAGAGCTGCTGCAGGAAAAGAGAGCAGCAAAAGAGGAAGAAGCGGAGGACGCAGGACGATGAGATGCGCAACGCAAAAGCAAAAATAAAAAAAGCTGCGATAAACTGGGTTAAACAGTCACATCTGGCAAGTAAATTGAGGAGATGTGGTTGGGGTGGGAGGGAATCCCAAAAAATTGAACTTGAGGAAAAGTCAGGAGCTAGGTTTTAAGAGCGCCTCGTCCACGTGAGTCCCCTGTGACAAGCCTTCATTGGTTGAGGGGAGCTGGAAGTGGACCTCCCCACACGCCCACTCTCTCTCGCTCC